GTCAACAATCTGAAATAAGTTCTTTTTGTTACAAAAGCCAATACTACTTTTTAATTTCATTTGTGTTCTACTATATGTTGTCGCTTGCTCAAAGTAATGCGACCCTGCTCTTCGGGGCTGCAAATAAAAGGGAATGAATTTCGTATTAATTCAGTTTGTTGCTACGAGGCCTCACTGTCAATAAACCCCAGATGGATCGCATTTAATGCGGTAACTTCGATCAGAAATAAAATCATTAATTGGTAGTTTGACAAATGTTCAGGATCTAGGTAGTGATTATTATCCGGTTAACTTAGCTTTCGAAATGCTATTCTTCACAACACTACATCTGAAACATGTTTCTTATAGGCGGCAACATCCTTCAAAGGAACAACTTAAACCACCCACGGCTACGTGCCACGAGATTCTAGGGAGAGAAGGCCAAGAGACATGAAACCAATGGAAACGAAAACATATGAAATAGATGTAGAGTATATACCGTATAGCTAGTGCTCCAAAGACCACGGCTTGTTCTCGTACATGTAATAATAGAAAATGGATTAATCAGCAACGGTATTGAGTTGGTTTAGACCAAAGCCAACCTAACAAAACCAATAAAAATTTCACAAGGAAACTGTCAGTAGTTTGATAATATTGGTAGAGCAATGCTATTTCTATTTCAATCACATTTCAAAGTCAATAGTAAAGTAGCATAAAGGCACAATGTATTAGTTAAATCCGTCTATGGAAAGCGGAAACATGGCTTATTTCTTGTGGGTATTTTTAGATTTGTACTGTTGTTTTAAGTGCAGTATACAATTTGATGAAGATGTTGGAGACTTGCAGACGAAACAAGATTTCTTAAATAGGAACAACTTTGAATTCGATTTGGTTCAAAATCTAACAATCTGATTCAAACAATTTTATCATGTCCCGAATGACTTGGACTAATTCGTATCAAGCTTATTGATATGCATATGATGACTGTCGTTGATGTGTTTGTCTAAAAACGGGTTAATTTTCTCTTACTGCAATGAACAGATATGATTGTTTGTTATAGTCAAGATTTAGTCTCTGAGGAAGTACATGTATATCTTATTTCTGTCACGAATAAACACTAGTCTAGGTCAGTAAACGTCCAAGTCTTGTTAAAGCCTACTAGTAGATTACATTTCCGTCCGGTACTCGTGTTTTGTCCCTTTATCCCTTTTCCTGAGGTGACTGTGCGGACACAGACGGTGGTCATGCAAAATTTTACCGTTTCACGGCGTCGATAGCCTCTGTGGTTTTGTCAAGCTAAAGCCATTGAGAAATCTTAGAATTGTAAGCCCGTAGGCCGTAGCAATATCGAAGATGGCATGCACCGTTCACGTACGGGCAGTGTTGGGTTGACTTGCAGGGATCTTGATAATGACTGAACCCTCCTTCTTTTGATGGTTTAAGGATGTATAGCAATAGAAAAGGTGTTTAAACCTTTCAATAATTCACTTGCAGGATTTGAGATTGCGCTTTTCCTTATTCTTTCCACACTATAAAATACATCGTAGGGGACTGAGCCGACAACGATCTTCAAGGAGGCTGTGATGACAGCCTGCGGCAACTGTACTGAGACTGAAACTGTCACTTTTCACTTTTCAACCGAAAAACCGGTTTTATTTCTCATGCGACCTCAAGGTGATGTCGGAGAAATGGTACGGCACCAACACGGAAAATTATACACGATTTAATCGTATGGCGCCCATGGCAAATGTAATTTGAAGCGTGTACTTAACATGTCTCATTTTATATTTTAAAGTATTTTGCTTTAAAACAGAGCCTTCCTTAATTACCTTACGTAAATGCCTTCTATAATGGGATCTCTGACAGTCCTCCAGAAACCACAGCATAGTTATCCGATTACAAAGAAAACCCTAGACTGTCGTCTGGTAATTAGTTTGACTCTAAGGACATTAAGATGTCTTTGCCCCTGGATGTTCCATTACAACACCGACCCCAGGGAGGAAAAATCTAATTACATTTACATAGGTACTTTGCAGATACAGCCAGGAAGGGGTGCTAAAATACCTGTGTTTCAGTGCCCAAATCAACGTTTAAAACATTTAAATTGTGTATTAACATAGTAAAGTCTATTGAGCATATTTTTGGTTTTATACTTTGTATAAATTTTATTGTTGGCATCGTTATCTTTTGGCAAGGAGAATCAGAGCAGTGCAGCTGTATTTTGTGCCATTGCAATGAAGATGTGACAAAGATGACCTTTAGAACTGCAGAAAGAAAGTAATTTGAGCAGATTGCTAATGAAATTAAGGTCAAAGTTATACAATGAGAATTAGACATTTGCGTACTAAATGTAATTTTCCTGAAAATTCCGTCATTTTTAAAAATGTTATCTCCAGGGACGTACGCAAATTCCAAAGCCGACGAAAAATTACGGCAAGTAAACCGGTTTTGAGTTCTAGGTTTCAAGGTTTTTAGTCTTTCCTGTTTTGGCGATAGTGGCTGGTGACGTTAGAGTGGAAATTTAGAAATTGTAACCAGGTTTATAGATTGGAATTTTCTCAGCTGTTTAAGAAATGGTGACATTTACCGGTACCTTGTTTAAATTTCCAGAATAATCTTTGCTAGTAGAAAGGTCTTATGTACACTGTATTCCTTAATGGAATTTCGTTCAGTTTATGTTACTTAATCCATAGAATGCGGCAATGTTTTTTTCTTGCTTTACGTCAGTGAAAAGTCAATTGTTGTGAATGGAAATAGTATCGTTATTCTTCATTAAGGGTTATCAGATCATTTATGAGCCGTGGCCATATTTTACATGTGCCAATTAGAAACGTTTGGCTGATCCATGTTATCATTAATGTATTTTTGATTAATCCTCAAGGATTTTCTGTAGCAAAAAGTAGAACAGAGCTTAGGAAAGTCAAATACCTTATCGTTGCATGCATATATGGGTTCCGTATTTTAACGTGTCTTGAAAAAAAAAAAAAAAAAAAAAAAAAAAAAAAAAAAAACCAGCCCTTAGACGCCACCGCAGTTTATTGAATAATCGGTTGGAGAAATATCGCCCATGATGTACATGTCAAAGGGACTTTTGCAGTGACATTTTCATGGGGATTTTTCCGAAAAAGCGAAGAAGAGTTGTTGGAACACTTGTAATATGATCGAGATATGGGGTTATGTGGGATTAATGCATGCTTGATTATACATGTACATCACCTCCGGTCAGCCTTAGAGGACAATTCTAAAGACTGTGGCATAAGAGAAAGATTCCTTTTAACTGGTCCTGAGCAAGGTGAGCGAAGAAATAATTTTTTCAGAAACTTTTTTTGATTTCTGTATGATATTTTCAGTTTGCATGCCAAAGCGATATTTTGCAACCAACTCTGTATGCTCCCTCCCCCCCCAACCCCCCGCTGTATTTCTGTGCATCTCTGACCCACGCGGTTGCAGCAGCTCCCAGTGAAACGTGTGAGGCTGCACGGATTGCTATACTGGAGAGATATTCTTGTTATTAAAGCCATGAATGAAACTGTTCAAATCTGAAATATTTTACTTGCTGGGAGTATTGCAACTGTATTTTTCAACACTACAAGTTAATTGGATTTTCAGTGATGGTTTGTAACTGTACTGATGTATACAAAGACGTGAAACTCCAAACACACACATTAGTTGCACACTGATTCGCACTGCACCACGAGAAACACGAACTTTTTCATTTGAAGTATCAACGAGTAGCTTTCACGGAACATATAATAAAGCTAACTATATAAACCACTGGTCATATGATCCTATTGGGAGCAGAAACATGAAATGTAATGTAGTACGTCTATAAAGTTGCACCAATTATTCTTTGGTTGTGCCGTCCACCACCTACTAGTTTGTGATGCGTTCTCAGGATAATACTGAAGCATGCCCCCAGAGGACCGAACTATGAAAGATGCTGGAGTAAATAGCTGGGTAGCTTTGTTCCGGTGTAACGAAACTGAGGGTCCGTGTAACAGAAAGTCCGCCTTCCGTTAAGTTATAATGGTTAGGGTTAGTCTGACCTAAGTGGGTCAAAACCCAGGTTGAGGCTTGCCTGTACAAATGAATGGGAAGCGGACTCTCTGTCATGGGGAACTCTCTGTCACGTTACACCGGATCTCGAGGTAGATTTCACTGATGCTGGATTAATTATTGCTGAGATTCCTTTCTGTTTGTTGCTTTCTGATCCTGTACTGGTACCGTGATGCTGTCACTGGTGTGGGTTAAGAGTTTATGTAGTCTTTCGGATCAGGAAGAATGGTTTTTAATTAGAGGTAGCTAATGCACACTAACTCCACGGGGACTCTCGCTGAATGCAATCAGATTAACAGAATAACATGTCTACTTTATTTTCCAACGTACTCGTATAATAACCAGCTTCTCTGTATTCTGCTCAACGCAAAGAGGAGGCATGTTAATTGGTTGCCTTCAGGGAGAGTCCCCATGGAGTAAGTGCATATTATAGGTAGGTCGACAATACTCATTCTGAAAAGCCTCTTTAATCCTGGTGGCTATCTGCCGTCTCGTATCCAATCTGCGGTTAATTGCCTCCTTGTACTACTCATGTTTGTCTTCATAAAAGACGCCATATTTCGTACCTGGGAAGGACGCGTGATTCTGAAATCACTGTTATCAGATTCAGATAATTAATGAAAAATTAAAAGCAAAAAGCTATACACATTACATCAGCAGATTTATTTTTTCCAAATTCCACTTCACTAGTATCTCTGCTGACGAAATTTATGGTTTAGTAGCAACTTTTTTAGGTAAAATGTTATTTTCATTTTCCGTGTTTACTATTTTACAACAGCTATTGTCAGTGGATTAAAACAAATATTTTTAGCAATGAAAATTAAGAAGAATTATCTCATTTTTTCTTTGTAGATGTCGTTAAGATTTTAACTTCAAAAATGTGGCGTTATTACATGTATTTTTGCATTGCTTGACACCAATTGCTTTACTCTCCGCCTCAAAGATATTGGTATCGCTGTCTGATTTTAAGTCTTCACGATGTCTACATAGGCCATTGTAAACTCAAAAATGAAGTCATCGGGATTGCACATGATACATTCCTCAAACTGAGAGTATAACTGATCCATTATGACTTTTCGTTCTTCTTCCGATCTGTGCTCGGAGAGACCAGAGTAGAATATAGCATTACTCCAAGCTTGGACCGAATTAACGTACCTTTTTATCGAGCGAGTTCCTGGATTAAAAATGGTTAGCTATATTACATTATATACATGTAGTCTTCAATCATGTAATCTTGTGTACAAATTACGGATGTTCGTCTTACGATGTGCATTACAAGAACAGTAGAATTTTTGCCTAAAAGTAGTAATTCAGAGAAACTTGGGGACACTTATCATTGGGCTTTTACAAGATTTTTTTAGTTCGTAGAATAGTTTTATTATTTCGTGCCTTTACTTGTATACATGAACATCACAGAGTATATTTTCAGAAACTTTATTGAGAAAGAGAAACAATATGCCACTTGTACAACGCAGAAACCATACGCATATATTATTAAAACTTACCTGTAACTTTGTCTTTTCCTACCATTGCAGCTGGGTTGATTGGAACATCTTTCATTTTGATTGAAATAAGTTTTAAACCTTCTTTTAAAACCTTGGAGTCCTTGCTTACAAACGGTGCTTTTAATTCAACTTCTGATCGTCGATAATATGCAGCGTTTGTATTTTTAAATTCCTCCTACGATAATAATGAATCTGTTAGAATTTAAGTTATATTGCATTGAATATTAAATATATCACCTATGCTAGACGAGCATGCACAAACTTCAATTCTTGTTCAGTCAATCTGATCATCTACATTTTCTTTTCTATACTTTCTTTTATTTTTTGCACTTATCGCAATTCATGATGTTTTTTCAGTTAACATATATAAAATTAAAAAAAGATATTTCATCACTATCGTTACCAATGTTCGTATAAAAAAAATACATGTATGCATCAGTAGAGCTCTGAAACAAGAATATGATTTTGCATTTTACAGTTTATTATTATTATTATTATTATTATTATTATAATTTTTTGTTAACAGTGAAATTACCTTTGTTATCACACCTTGCTCGACATTTGACCACCAAATGTCTCTTAAAACTCGTAAGTAGGCAGGGGTGCCCCCACTGTTGGGTCTTCTAAATTCATTCGCGTCCTTTAACCCCATTAATCCAATGATCAGATGAGCACCTAAAACACCAATAAAATTATTTAAACTTAGACCCCATTTCCAGAGATTAGATCGATCTACTTTAGATCGACCTAACTCCCTGGGGATTCACGCTAAATAGCTGTCAGCCGAGCGGACACCAAAGTTAATTACCCCCTTACAGCTTGTAGTAGGCGGGACGGACATTTAAGCCGGCTTATCTGACAGTAATCTAGTTAGACTCCCCGCGGGGATAGATCGATCTAAAAGCTCTGGGAATACAGCCTTAGACGCCATTTTCATTTCTAGATCGATCTAGCAGGACCGACCCATCTCCGAAACGATTTTCGCTAAATGGCATTCAGCTTAAGCGGTTAAGAAGCCTGAAACGCCTACGGAAGCTGCTAAACCATAGTTTTAAAATTATGCCTAACAACTTCAGTAGGCGTGCCGGACATCAGAGCCGCTTAAGCTGAATGTACCCTAGTGTCAGAGCAACGTAAAAGCTAGCTTGTTAAATATATACCTTGTGATGGAGTCGCTTTTACTAGCTCTGACGAACAGCGACAATCTGAGGGCGTTCTTCTTCAAAATTTTGCCTGGGGCGCTTCCATATTTGGAAGTCACACGTCACAGCTGTGTCCGCCTGGATCCATATTTGGAAGTCATAAGTCTCGTACGTCACAGGTTTGGCCGCCTGGAGCTGCCTTTCCCGCCTCGCGCTGAAGTTATCTCGTGCAGACGAGACAAGAAGCAAAGCGCCTGACGAAGTTTGAATTGAAAATATCTTGCAGTCGAAGGTCAGTGCCACAATAGAAGCAACATTCTGCTTTAAAAACTGATTTTGGTGTAGCCATTGCGCAGCCCTTATAGTGGTATCGGGCATACAGTGTAGCTGTCAAATTTGGCACACGGCAAGCACGTGTATTGCGCACGTGTACATCTCAGGACTAAATGTTCTTTGATAAGCAAAAAATACAAAAACATTGGATATATCTTTTCTGTTCGAAGAATATTATTTATTTTTTCACTTTACATCTTAAATACAGCAAATAAAATTAAATAAAGCAGAATTAATTCTGTTTTATGTTTCATTTTGGTCTGATGACATTCAACTGCAGATGCAGTTCTATTTGATTGATGGAAGTGTAACATGGCCGCTGGTCACTAGAGCCGGTATTGTTGACATGGGTTATATATGAAATCAAGATCGAGCTAGGGTAGCTGAATGCAGTGTAACAAGAAACCCCTCGGAGATATGTCGATCCTTCTAGATCTGGTATGGGAGCGGGGTCTTCATTCTTTAACCTAAATCGTTTATCATATATATCATGAATAACATTTATTGAGACGCATGTCGTTTGATATATGCTGTAAACTGTTTATTTTTCTAATCCTAACATATTGACTCGACCAACTTGAGCATAATAAATTTGTTTTTGTTACGCTAATTGCGCATATATTTCGTGCATTTTTTGGGTTTGTAAAATACTTTAATTTGTACTTTCTGCTCACATTGGGATAAATTATCTATCTATCTATCTATCTATCTATTTATCTTAATCAGTAAAATTACTGATGCATCATTATCATACTACCCTAGGTTCTAGATTCCGGTATTGCCAGCTCGATCTTGATTTCATATATAACCCATAGTAGCAAATAATACTACTAAAAGCGACCACCACAAGGTATATTTAGCAAGCTAGCTTTTATGTTGCTCTGACACTCAGGGTATATCATATGGGATGTTTAAAATACCTAATACCTGTTTTCATTTCCCTTGCCCTGTTTATCAGAATCGTTTCCCAGTCTTCGGCAGCTTGTTTTTGATATGCATGGCGCTCCTTGTCGCTCACATCTGCCTCTTCTTGACAGAAAATAGCTCGCTCAAGGGTACAGGGGCTAGAACATATAATGCGTTGTAATTATAAGGGGAGTTCACACGAATTGATCTGCGCTTTTTAATGTGTACTGCTTTTGTAAACATTTTCGCATTGTGGGCCATACATTGAGCTACTTTAATTTGCGAAATCCCCGAGAGTCACTGTCGGTTTTGAACTAATTGACATCACTTATGATTATGCGTAATAATCGTCAAAACATTTAACTTTGATGCAGTTATTTTAAGAAATACCAGTTAAATTGTTGTCAGATATGAGATTAGATGATTTTTTTTAATGAACAGGTAATGAGACATTACACATTAACCCTCAATCACCTTTCAGGGGCCTCGCAGGCCCGGACCCATGTATCTTTTGCTCTCTCTTCGTTCGCATGAGGTTTTGAGCCTGTTCCTTTCATGTAATCCTCAAGCAACTTATACCCCATCAATGGATAAATAATTAGTTTTGAAATAATTTACAACATATGTAGAAATTAACTTTTCCAAAAGTTAGTCCCATTTCCTGGAAACCGGGCCTCTGAGGCCCGGTCGCTTGATAATTTTACTTCCACATGGGATAAATAAGTCCATGTTACCTCAAATAGCTTTGCTATAAAATGTTTTACACAAGCAATATCATGTGTGCTATGACTATCAGTATGGTCAATGAAATCTGCCTGTGAAAGATTCAAGACCTGGAGAAATTATTATTTATGAGTAATCGGTCACCTTGGTCACCTGATATGCAGATATCAGTTTAAATCTATCATTATTACATACCTGATAGACTGCGCTACCTTTGCGAAACTTTCCATTTTGAGAAAAAAAAAAAGCGACGTTTTTCTGCATTTTCCATACACAGTGTATACTCGTGCACCCAGGTGGAGGTAAAGGGAGCAAGGGACTGGTGTAACATGAAAATCTGACTCCCCCAGTCAGATTTTCATAATGAAAATCTGACTCCCCATGAAAATTTGACTCCCCCACCACAAATGTTCATAAATCTTATTTTATTTGAGTATATGACTGTGATATTGTAGTATGTAAAATGGAGGATACTTTGGCTTTTTTTTTTAAGTTTGCAGGTGAATATTTTCATGAAAAAATATGAAAATTAAAAATGTGCACTTAACCGCCCATTGTCTCCCCTTTGAAAAAGCTATTTATTTGATATTGGATGATCATTTCTACATCTTTCCTTTAAATTTACTTTATGAAGATTATATTGGAAATATTTGAAAGTTTGATGGTAAACTATTGGGTGAAAAAACTAAAAAAAAACATGAAAAATAGAAAATTAAAAATGTGCATTTTATCACCCAATAACTCCCCTATGAAAAAGCTATTTATTTGATATTTGATGATCATTCTGACATCTTTTCTATTAGGATACTTTATGAAAAATATATTGGAAATATTTAAAAGTTTTATGATAAAATAGTGAGTGAAAGGATGAAAAATAAATTATGAAAATCTTCATTTTTATACCCATGAGATTTGGATTCCCATAAAGAAAAGGACCTATTTCATATTCAGTCACCATACCATTGTTTTCTACATAGTTTGCACAGAGACACACAATAGATTTATCACTTTCTTTCACCAAGGTTTTAGAAAAAATATAATTCTTCTGTTTACTTCAAATGGACGTATATATTGAGAATATCTGATTATACTAGTAGATAAAGTAAATAAATACTAGTTTATGCTAGTATAGCAAGTCGTAATTAAATACTAGTTAAAGGTTTGAACTGACAGGAAAATGGTTTCATGTGCCTTCAGGAGTATTTAAACCTGTCGGATTAGAGAGGTGAATGGGTATGAACTGTTATCAGGAGTTTGAACAGTCATCCTGCAGGTAGATAGTGGCAGCTCGGTTTGACAGCTAAACACGCTGGCCCTCTCCTCCTGTGGCTTTTATGTCGTCACCGTAGCTCATTAACTCCCAGGCCTAACGAAAATGATTCTTTTTAGAAGCTTGATATTTACAAAATGAATTTCTAGTTAGTGTATTTTGATTAAGAAATAATTATTTGGGCATGTTTCTGAAGGTTATGCTCCGTTCAAGACATTTTCTGATGGTCTGGCTGAAATCCTTTAAGACTTTGAGCTCCTTGTCGGACCCACATATACATGTTTCACGCTGTCTAACGGTTTTTGAAATTGAAGTCTCGTATACAAGTTTTATGTTGTTTTTTTAAATATATTTCTAATATTATTTTCCGACACAACTGAGGATAGTTATAGAAGGGGCCTCATGCGATTTGGTCAAATGGGACAGAAATGATGAAATAAAAAAATAGAATATATCGAAGCACTTTAAAGTTTCTAGTTCTCGCCCAGGTCGCCCTTACAACGCTCATTGGTCTCATAGGAAGCAGAAAGACGTTGAGAGCACGCCACTGACCTCCACTGGTCGCCGCTGATGGTACAAGGAAGACGACGATGAAGTTCAGTGGTTAGTCTGGCGTCATCTATATCGCCTGGAATTCAATTGGACGTGGTAGGTTACACAGGGAACGGCCATGTGAAGACAGATAAGTGGCGGGCACGTGAACAGTCGATCGTATATGTTACGTAGTTCTAGAGGAAAGGTCAAGGTCGGTCGTTCCAAAGAAGACCATTGTCACATTAACACAGACACAATTAGGTTCTTCAATATTCTCCATAGGGTATATTAAGTGCAGAAACTCTACTCGGGCAATTCTCATAATTCGTATGCTACCTGCCAATTAAACCAATATGTTTTAAATGTCTTGTATTATACCAGATCAGAGATATCGGGTCATGTGGGATTCGTTGGTGCCTGCATAGTTGCATCAATTCAGGTCAGCTTTATAGGACAATTAAAATCTTTAGATTCATATGTTACAGTCTTTTTTTTTTCTGAGAGAGGTGAGTGAAAAATGAATCATATTTTAAAAACTTTTGTTGACTTTTTATATTTATAGTTTGCATGCCAAGGACATATTTTGTTGTGAGCAACCAGTTTTTTATGCTCCCTTAGCCCCTCTGATGCATTTCAGTACGTGTTTGAACCGCAGGGTGACAGCTCCAAGTGAAGTGTGTGAGGCTCCATACTGGCAAGATATTTTTTTTATTTTTGGGGCGATGAAACAAACTGTTTAAATCTGAGAAATTTTGGTGGCGTATTGCAACTACATGTATTCATGAAATTCTTTATTGATAACTCTTAACTAAGAAAATGATATTGATTATTATTATGAGTAAAATATTTAATGATTAGTTTATTTTAATTTCTCTATGATAATTTTAAAACTAAATAAATGAGATTGATTATTTATGCTCAGTAAAAGAAATTGTTGAATTTTTTATTTACAAAAAATTTTTCCGGAAATTATGTAATTAAAATGATTTTTCATGCTAAGAATATGAAATAAAAAAGTTATCAAACTCAGTCGTAATTTTTCTTTTTCATAACAATATGTATTTGTTAATGGCATGTACATGAACATGATGAACTTGTATTTTCCCTATGCACATACATCATACACTCCCAAGTCTTGAATAAAGATTTCATACAATTAACCGGTTTAACAATATTGAAATGGTGAACTAAGCGTATAAGTAATATAAACAGTAGCCATATACGCCACCAGATAAAATAGACTTGTGTGTTAAATCAACAATGATAATTGCTAAAATAAAGATACTTGTTAATGTAAACAAACATGTGTCGCGTTGGACTCGTTTTAAGGCATACGGGTCGTCAAATCCTTATTTTATTTATTGTTATTATTTTAAGGAAAAAAAAAACATGCATCATCAAACCCGGGCTTGTGTACAACTTCATTTAAAAGTCTAAATACAACTGAAACATTTGTTTCCATGCAAAGACAAATATATGATGTACCTCCAATATTGATTGGAAAATACTTTAACCGAAATTTCCCCACACACTCTCTTGTTGAGGAATAGTGGCCAAAGTTACGATGTTGCCAAGGTCAAATTTTGCCGCTCTACGATTTTGAGGAACATGCACACATGAAAAAATTCCAGTAGAAAATAAAATATGTATAAAGTCTACATTCTTCAAAATTATGTTATCTAATAAGACATATTAGATATGTATTTATCAAAAGAATATAGTCATTTAACTGACGTGTAATATGAAAAAAGTGGGAACACAAATCGCAAGAAACATGGCATTTAATATGCGATTATGTTAGTGGCCATTTCATTTAATCCAATACTTAACGTCTGCTGATCGTCATTGTGATTGATATAAAAAAACATATTCGATATAAGCGTCAAATAAAGAATCTTCCTGAACAAATTGTAGAAAAGGAAGTGAAAATGCCACTATGTTTGCTAATTTATACTGGCAATATCCCTTAAGGTTTGGTATGGCTGTTCTGGATCGCCTGTTCTTTGGCAACAGCAAACGCCATTTCCTCCACTGGATACGTTGCGACTTAGTTTTGGGCAACAGCAAACGCCATTCCCTTCACCCAAGGTCGCACGCGCCAACAAATGGACGAAGGTCAGCAGTCGATGGCACAGCATGGCCAGGAACTGTACGATAAGCAGGAAGCAGAAGATGAACAGAAACACTAGACCTGTAATAAGATATGTCATTGAATAAATTAATGTGTACATGTAATTTTCAGTCAAGAATAAGATCATGGGTTACTAAAATAAATGTATAATATGCAAGGATGTAATTTGGGTAAATCAATTTCCTAGGAAAAATAGAAAAATAAAAGAGAACAATATCTAATATGTAGTCGTTACGATGAAAATATCGTGCATTTTGTAATCATACGACACTTAACAACCCAGTAGTATATAGGCCCACATTTGATATAAAATGGAAAATATAGGAACCTCATATTACCTAATGGATTATTCCCAAAAAGTTGGAGGTCGGGTTTTTCTGGGTCTGTACCCAAGTTACCAAGGGTGAGGAATATTGTGAGCCACAACGTGTTTACTACCGCAAACCACATCAGTGCCGTCTTGCGGAGATCTAACAGCTCATCTAGTAAATAATCAAAATGTTTGCCATGGGAGCGACACTGTTATGTTCTACATGGTTTATAAAATTTAATTACTTAATTCGTTTAAATAGGTAGTGATTAGAGATTAGGTTAAATTAAGGATTAAGAAAAGAAAAATATTTACTCATGGGACCATTTACTTTTAAGTGCGTCCTCCTTTTCCTTGAATACTGCGGAAGGTTTCAAGCGCTTATCAATAAGATTTTTCCAAAATTCTTTCTCTCTTCTCACTTCTGGGGTGAGTGTATAAGACTTGCAGCTTTTCAATTTTTCTCGGACCTTCATCAAGCTTGCTTCATCTACAAAAGCAGAAGAAGTGGAATCTATATAATCCAGTCACTACCTAGGTTCCTTTTGAGTTTCGATTGTATGCAATAATAATTACCTGGTGACGTGCTGATAAGAATGAATAATTCACTGATGAATATGATTTAGATGCAATATTACACTAGAGAACATCCATCGTAAACACACACACACAAACACANGCTTCATCTACAAAAGCAGAAGAAGTGGAATCTATATAATCCAGTCACTACCTAGGTTCCTTTTGAGTTTCGATTGTATGCAATAATAATTACCTGGTGACGTGCTGTTAAGAATGAATAATTCACTGATGAATATGATTTAGATGCAATATTACACTAGAGAACATCCATCGTAAACACAAACACACACACACACACACGCATATACTCAATGTACACATTATATCTATTTAGGATTGCCATGTGTGAAGAAAAGTTTCATGTTTCATGAACACAATTACATAAATTAGTTAGTAGAACATTAAAAATTCCACCAAGAGATATATGACCGTAATTTAATCTGTGTATAAATACAATAGATGATGGAGTCATAATTGAGACAGTCACCCATGTGGTCTTACCAAGAGTAGCCGGTCGAAGCTGCTGGATGGACTTGTACAGGCGCTTCAAGTGACCTGGTATGAGACAAAAATGGCGTCAAGTTATAATGCAAAAACAGAAAAACATGCACTTACTAAATTATACGTTTTGTACTGCATTTAAAAGACAACATGAAAACTTACGCACACAAGCACGTCAATTACCGTGAACTGAGAAAAATGGCTTGGGGGGGGGGGGGGGGAGGGGGGCCTGTTGTAGGTCTACAATTTATGCAATTAGGCTATATGCATTGCTTATGGAAATCATCCAGTAGCTGACTGACGGAAAAATAAGAGACTGCTCGTCGACTGGGAGAAAGGAAAATGCTGACACTGTTCCCTGTCCTGCATTTTTTTAAATCTTGAAGCGGGGAGATGAACATGCCTACACACAAACATTGGTTAAGAACGCAGGTAAAATCTGTACCGTAAACGTTTCATTTTACTGGCCATTCGGACCACCAATTTTCTAAAATCTTTTGGTTTGCATTACAAATCAGTGGTCCAAACAAACATGTCAATCAGAACTTAATTTTCAACCTATTACACATTAACATAGTTTTCTTAAAAAACTTTATTTTGTCAATCTTTCTGAAAAACTTCACTATTGGAGACAAACTCATACATATCTATGGAAAACTGTGGATTAAAGTGATAATAACTCTTTGTTTTGGCCAAAAAATGAATTTTCCTGGAGTGAACAACAATTTTCTCATACTTACCAATGGTTAATGAATCCATTTTTACATTCAAAGTTAGTCCCTGGTTTTTTTTCTAAATGTTTGTTTTTTTGTTAAAATCTCTTAAGAGATTTTAACATAGTATAGCCATCAATGGAGCTTACATCGTCTAAAGACAAGCTCAGATATCAGAATAATAGCTATAACTGCTGTTTTTGTGGTAAAACAGAATATATTATATTTCTATGAGTTATTCACAATGTTTTTATTGTGAAATATAGATCTCATATGAAGAGTTATTATCCCTTTAAGGTTATTTTCATCGAAAAAAGTATACTAGTCATGTTGGACCACTAAAATTACACATTCTGAAAACCTGGTCTGCACGGAATTTTACTGACCACAGGCGTCGGACCAATGACTGTAGTAGCACACTGTTCAGGTATTACAATAATATCTACCTGGTTTGTGAATTCCATATTTAATCCTCAGTTGATCTTTGTCTGTAGTGGTCATCAAGTCATCAAAGTTGTCTAGTAGTGCTTTCCTGTATCTTACAAGGCCAATGGAGGTAATCCACCTTTCCTGAAGTGTAAATCCATTATTTCAAAGGCGTGCTTACATCAATAAGGAAATTAGGCAATGGATTAAATGTATCCTGTATGTTATTCCTATTCTCCTCGATAAAAAAGCAGATTTATCCACAGCACATATTTACAATAAAGTTTAACACACCCTCACCTTTGCTGCAGTGTCTGTTGGTACCTGTGGGTCTATTTGAAAGGCGGGAAGTCTTTGTACCTCAGCGTGTACCAGGTTAACGTGGTCCCTGCTCATTATGCCGACTTGGCGAATTTCCTGAAAAAGATAAAAGAAAAAAGTTTGTCGAGGACCATGTGTGGGCTAGGAATCTACATTTTTATGCTATCTATTGATAACAACAAATCAGTCTGACATAAGATCATTGTAGCTTGTATTTGTATTTAATTGACTTGAGATGGACTGTAGGCCTACCACATATTCTTCATGTAATGTTAGCATTGTTTAATTCCTGGGGCGATCGTAAATCATCTGCAGTTCTATCATATGACATTTAAAAATATACCTCTTTGCTCATCCCAGCAATAAAAGTGGTGTCGTCATAGCCAAGTTTTTTAAAATTGTCCTCACAAGCCTATAAAACAAGTTTGAAATAATGATAATAAAATTAAAATAAAACACTCAAAGCACTTCTAAGCAAAAGGCGTCTTTTATAATAATTTTAAAAAAATCAGCTTTTCATCACTTTTAAAAAATGAATTTAAATTATTAGGTAAAATCTTGTTGGAGCTTATAAGAGGTATTGTTTTTTATGTTATTGTTAAAAATAACTTCAATATAATGCACAAATACAAGTGTCAAAATACAAACTTGACATTTATAATATGAAATTTTACTTTCAGAGTTATACCCAGGTTGAAATGCTTTTATTTAACGCTCAGATCTCACACAAAATATGTAATTGGAAAAGTGTGTAGGCAGGCGTGTCGGTACCAATTAACTGACTACACCATGGCTGTAGCACTGCTGCATTGCACAACTCTGGATAGAACACTGAAAATACGTGGTTTTCTTTATTGATTTTACCTGCACCGCCAAAGTAGATTTTACAGACATCCTGATTAGGCTTACGACGAAGCGTGTGCCGCGTCAAAAGTGACTAGGGTCAATAACAGCACCAGTATTTGGAGCGGATAACCCATTGGTGCCAAGACACCAATGATAGTTATCGAGAACAACCTGGACCACATAAAATACAGGAATAATCTGGGAACCACTTGACTACCATTTGACAGGGGTACCTTAGGAAGAATTTTAGGGCACACTGTGAAAATGCCGGTTCAAACAGAGCACTTTTAATCGCAGATAGCTTACATAACCAAGTAAATGAGCAGCTACCCTGGTCTTCAAGATCGCCAGATTTAAAATACGTAGACAATATGTTGTTAGGTAATTACTCGCCGAATCAACAACCTACTTATCATACAACAAAACGCAACCAAATTGAACAGTTTTTGAGCGATATCTGGGATGTCTAAAAATCATTTCCAAGGATTGCCTTGCCGCTTGAGAGGCCTAGTAGCAGCCATGTGAGGTCAGACACACACCCGACCGTTACTATGACTAGACACTGACATGAGGTTCCTTGTGGGGCGTGTAACAGTTTTACAGATGACAATTTGGATAATATGGATATCCCAAAATATCACTTTTAATGGTTGTCGTATGACTTGGAATCAGCAATGAATGCTTCCATGGCGATTTCAATTTAAGTTACTAAAACAGCTTTTAAGCCTCAATTTCATTTATCAGTCAGAAAAATGGAATAATTTAATTAAAAAATTCGGAAACGTATTCCATATTTAATGTCAAGCCTGTATTTATGTGTCGATATATTCAGGATGTGGTTACTCAGCAGCTGACCATCAGGGTTCAACGATACCTTGATTTCGTTCTGAAGAAACCTTGCAGACAACCAATTTTTCACTGAAATGGCGTCATGGCATCTATCTTCTCTGGCGCCTTCTTGTTCCTCTTCTACAGAGCCTAAAATTATAACACGCCATAATCCAACAGACTGCACTGATGAATACCCATAAAATTTGTTTTAAACCGATTCGTACTTTGTGGTTGATTTGACGTACGGCACACAGCTTGAAAAACCTCACGAATGGGATTTTGATTGTGTTGACCATACTTACGCCTTAATGCCTAATACCATGCAGCCATCCTTTTCTGATGACCTGAATCATCGAAATGAGCCTTACTAGTATATTTCGTTCTTTACTCTTAACTCAATTGACTTATCCCACTCCACCTGAGTAAAATATTCCTAATTAACTACACGTCTAGTTTTTAATGCTATACGAAGAGGCGTTCGTATGCCTTGTGCCACATAAACCTCCTTTATTGGTATCACTGACCATTAAAAACCAGTACTGCGAGGGCTCATTATAAAATAACATTCACTGTTAATGTGTTTACTATTTTTGGTTTACTCACCGCCTGCCGATGTATCATTTGCTTCGTCTGGTAGATTCGTGATCATCTCTACGTTGCCAAATTCGGGTGTATTTTTCTGAGTTGGGCAACTGCAAAAATGTATCAAGTGAAACAATCACAACAAACAAATTGAGTCGAGGGGTGATATAATAAACCACGGGTACTAACTTAAGGAGCCTAAGTCTCTGATTCGTTATTGATATATTTTAAACACTGAATCTGAAGTCATTAAGATCATTGGCACTGGTTGGCATGGCTTTAGACAATAAGCTATTAGGCAGTTGTAAATAAAGTGCATCAGGTTACAGTTGTAGTTTCTTACATCTTATTTTCAAAGTACTTAAAAACAGTGATTAACTGCAACGAGAAAAAACCTAAATCAATAACAAATTATTGAAATGTTCCAAACGTTATCAGCAACTCTCACAAAATTGGAACGGAATATTATTTGTTTAGTTTTTTAAGACATACCACGTCCCTTGTACTCGGTCCCATATTTCCTGAAGAGCGCTTTTCTCTTGACCAGATGTCTTTGCTTCCCTAGTCCCTGCAGCAACACGACAATATTAATAATTTTGATGAATCTCAAAATTATAAATCTTTACGCAAAGGTGTGTATTTGTTAAAATAAAATTCGGAAAGATAAGTTAAACAAATATTTACCATATCTAACTGGAAGTTACCGCACAACAGTCAAACAAGAAAATCTGTTGAGGTACATTGTATATGGTACCTGTACTAACCCCAGCTCTGATCCGTTATGTTACATATACTGTAGATACACTGTATATGGTACCTGTACATACCCCAGCTCTGATCCGTAATGTTACATATACTGTAGATAGTGAGGAAGAGAAAGCCAGCCGGTAGAAAGAACAGGTATGTGATACCTTAAAAATGCAAACGTATTAATTTAGGGTGAAACATGTAACTAATATAGTTGTCGCCACTAGATCAGCAAACACAATTGTTAACAGCACCGATACAGAGCAGGTGCCGTTGTCCTTTATTTGAATCAGTATTATTTTACAAAAATTAGAGATGAAAACACAGACACTAAAATATCAATAAGCACAATGTTTTTTTTTACATCACTTACGTATCCAATACTTTGTAAAAGGAGAAGAATAAACACAAGGGTTAAAAGGTGAAAAGGGAATGAGGATAATATCATTATAATATGTGAGCATATGAAGGGCACAGGGAGAAAATATCGTCTTGTTTTGTTCGTTTCGTTTTTTTTTTGTTCTTCCCTTACTCTTTTATTTTGTAGTTGGGAGGGGGTTAAAAAAGTATACCTCCAGAGTTAATTTTAAGCAAGTGAAGTGCGTTGCATTGACCCTTAGACCTGCTGTTGTAAGTTTTGTGGTACCCTTACCATGGAAAAGGCAGGTGAACTCCGTCGGATGCAATAATGCTGTTATCACAAACATCCCAGCTACTGCACAGACGTAAAGCGAACTAACCGGAACCGGCAATTCAGTCACACCTGAAAAATTATGTAAAACTTCTACCCGTGACTTTCAGCCAAAATAAGGCCTGCTGCAAATTTTGCAGCAAATTTTCTGCAATATTGCTTCAAATTGCAATTCCTTCTTGGAAATTTGCAGCACATCTGCTGCAATGTTATTGCATATTTCTCTAACAAACTCCCGCAAACTCACTGCCGCTTACTTTTCATTTTGCTAAGGGAGATTAATGTATGTACTGTATAGTCATTGCATTGATCAATATGAAAAAATGTATAATTAATTAAAAAAAAAAAACATCACACAATTTAGTTAATTTGGCTCTGTTGTTTGATCACTGTTCATTGATTATATGTAACTACTTACTTATTTGAGAGGAAATATATGTTAGGTTAAAGGTACTGAAGTCCTGCACCACCTGCCGTATGGTACCAATGAACGTCACCGCCATTACGATAGCAAAAATTGCACTGGCACCTATTGCTACCTAGTGATGCAAAAACACATTTGGTATGGATCTCCAATATGGTGGTTCTGACAGCATGCAGAAGGTTCAAACATGTAAGTTTCCCTTTCTCCCCCCCCCCCGCCCGCCCCCTGTCGAAAACAGTATGCAAATGCGTATTTGGTTTATTATAATTTAACTTGACTGTACGTGTGCCGGAGTAACAGGAGTGGTAGTCCAAGGAATGGAGGTCAGGGCTCCGTATCTCGAAAGGTTCGCTATGTTGCGCACGTGCGCAAGTGTCTCGATTCCATAACCGATTCTATTTCGAGATACGGGGCCATGGAATCGAGACACTTTAGCACGTGCGCAGCATAGCGAACCTTTCGAGATACGGATCCCAGGACTCGAAAATGATAAGTGCAGGTTAGTCGCAGTTTTGGGGTTAGTACCTGTATACGGGGTAAGTATAATGGGGAACGGACTCTGGTTCCTAGCGGGCCACCATTTCTGTCAAACCAGTCAGGCTAGGGTCTGTACAATTTGTGTTTAATTATAAAATACGGGTACGAGTAAGCGTACATGTACGAACTTGGTTGCCTAGGTAAAACGTATCACTCACATTAATCTGTGTTTCATTTGAGGTGTACATGCAAATACTGAGGAACAAGAGAGCAACGACCACCAACACCAAGGATATGGCGATGTCGTTTATTCCAAATGCGTACTCCAAACCGCCTGCAAGTAAAAAAGGAAAGAGTCGTCTTATAGGTCTATTTGAATTGGATAAAAATAATAGTTGGATATAGTTTGTTGTGATACTGTAAGTAAATTTAAAAATATTCCCGAGGGGGTGGAAACGGTTGGAAGAGAGAGAAAGAAAAGACCGAAAGAGAGAGAGAGAGAAAGTGAAATCTCTGCGTGTGCTGATATATATATTTATATATATACCAGATATAACCAAAATAACGGTGGCTGGACCAATCAACGACGAAACCAGTAGAAAAAACTGGTATATCATGAAAGGGTACGTGATCCTTTCACTTGACGTCACCAAATCCTCGGCAGATTTCAGGAGAAGCCACATGTTTGCCATCGTGGATACGATCCAGCGTCTACGCTGTTTGAAGAATTCACCAAACGTCTCCGGACAGAACGTTTTGTCCTCTGCCACTGCACAATACTCTATCCCGCTTCGGTTCTTAACCTGAAACAAAAAACATAGTATATAAACATTAAGCTGTTAAACATTGTAAAATGATTCACTGGGGAGGGAAATGATCCCACACCCCGCAGCAGAAAGCATTGCATATAATAGTCCAAAAATGGTCCGCTTACCAAAAGAGTACACAGCCATCTGTCTTCCCCCATGTCTTTGTACAAGAACTCGAAGCCAGTCTTGGCGTCACTGGCGTACTCCGCCATTGTGCGTTTAAGAACGGACGTGCGATACATGGTGAAGCAACCAGGAGCGCACAGCACACTGCCAAGTACATGGTTGGCGACCTGAAACATTGGTCTTATCCGTATTTAATCAAGATTATTTAATACGTTACATTTTGGCGACGTAACCCAACATGTAAATGCATGGCCAACGTATAAAGGTGAGGTAAGAAAGAAAGTGATAAATCATGTCACATTTTAATTCCCTCAACACAAAAGTAGACTTCAAACTTTCACGGGAAAATATATATTTCTCAAAAACTTAGTAATTTAGTCTATCGGTCTTATAGCATTTCGTTTTTAACCTGATGTGAAATACTGTTTCCGTTTTATACGAATTTGGTTATTTATTAAGTATTGAATAAATTAGCTTCAATTATTTCTATATATTTTCTGAAATGTAATTCGTATTACAATCTGTAAAATTAACTGTAAAAATAACAATATCGAGATGGGGATAAGTATTATTCATATGATACTAGTAAGTGTATTTCACAGACCAATTTTCAGTTAGCCTACGCTACAATGATTTTGACATTATCAGATTGAACTCTCTTTTATATGTACTTTTTGCAGCCAATGGCCGATGGCATAGTCGAACACCTGGTAGGACACTATAGGTTGGACTTTGGACCCCAAAGGATGAGTGCGGCCACAGACGGCGCTGACACTATGGTCGTCGTCTCGCAGAAACACGTCAAACAACGCCTCCACGGAATCCAAGGTAAACTTGACATCTGCGTCTGTGGCAAGGATGAAGGTCTTTTTTAGACCTAAACGAATGAATGAAAATACAGGTAATATGCAGGCGTGCTATTAAATATAGACATGATCGATATAATGTAGTAATTCATAAAAAAAGTTTTATCATTTTTCTCTGTCGCCGTATCACCGCAAGATATGACAAAATATCCTCTAAACCTGCTTGAATGATCCAGAGAAGCAGACAAACTGAATCCCACAGAAGCATATCAGTACAGAGGGATGACAAAAGTATTGCACCATCTTTTTTGTTGGCTTTGCAGTGGTGAATTTGAGCCAATTTCTATCATTGTGAAGTAACGGAAGCTCACAGATGAAAAAAGGAAAGAACATGTATCTCTCAGGGGTATAAATGTATCCCAGATAGCCGCAAGATATGGTGTGTCTGGCCAGAATGCGGGATATGCAGAAGGCTGGAGGGCACTGGTGATCAAGGGGTAGGATATTTTGAACCGTGCAGCAAATTAATATTACAATGGCCGCGCAATTTTCAGTTTTATAAAGACATAAGAAATGTTCAAAGAAGGCTACATGCTGCAGGAATTCACAGCAGGGTTGAAAAAAAGAAACCCCTTATCAGCGAGGTAAACAGACGGAGTAGATTTACATGGGCTGCAAAACCAGTGCAATGCCTGAACTGGCGCTATTTTGTATTTTCTGGCGAATCTATCTTCATCTTGTGAGGGGACAAATGATAACAGGGATCATCATCTACTACTCGTATGCCAGATCGAGTTTGCATTGCCTCACTAGACATAATGAAAATCTCCCATGACTCCCTCCCATGAAAATTTGACTCCCCCTCCACAAAGCTTCATAAATATTATTTTATTTGAGTATATGACTGTGATCTTGTAGTATGTAAAATGGAGGATACATTGGCACTTTTTTACAGGTGAATATATTCATGAAAAAATAAGAAAATAAAAAATGTGCACTTAACCGCCCATTGTCTCCCCTATGAAAAAGCTATTTATTTGGTATTGGATGATCATTTCTACATCTTTCCTTTAAATTTACTTTATGAAGATTTTATTGGAAATATTTGAAATTTTGACGGTAAAATTTTGGGTGAACCCCCCCCCCAAAAAAAAAAAAAAATGAAAAATAAGAAAATTAAAAATGTGCATTTTATCACCCAAAAACTCCCCTTTGAAAAAGCTATCTATTTAATATTTGATAATCATTTCAACACCTTTCCTTTTAGGATACTTTATGAAAAATATATTGGAAATATTTAAAAGTTTGATGATAAAATAGTGAGTGAAAAAATGAAAAAGAAATCATGAAAATCTTCATTTTTATACCCATGAGATTTGGGCTCCCATGAAGAAAAGGACCTATTTTATATTCAGTCACCATACCATTGCTTTCCACATAGTTTGCACAGAGATGTACATTTTATTATTTGAAGGTTTGGTGGTGAAATTTTTGGTGAATATTTTTAAAACAAGTATTCATCTTACTACCTGTAGGTCTTGCACTTCCATGTCAAAACGCTACATTTTTAACTCAAGAAATTGGCCCCATCGCCTTTTTACTGAATTCTTCTTATATAGCATACCCAGTAATTTACCATTCAAACTTTCAAATATTTCCAATATATTCTTCATAAAGGATCCTTAAAGAAAAGATGTCAGAATGATCATCAAATATCAAATAGTTTTTTATAGGGGAGTCATTGGGTGTTAGAATACAAATCCTTAATTTTTCTTACTTTTCATGCTTTTTTTAAAATTATTTTTTTCACTCAATTTTTTAACCATGAAACTTTCAAGTACTTTCAATATATTCCTCATAAAGTATCCTCAAAGAAAATATGTTAGAATGATCAACAAATATCAAATAAATAGCTTTTTCATAGGGGAGTCACTGGGTGTAAGAATACATAGGCTTTGTATTCTTAATTTTTCTTATTTTTTAATGTGTTTTTTCCGCCCAATTTTTTACCATCAAACTTTCAAGTACTTATAATATAATCTTCATAAAGTAACCTAAAAGGAAAGATGTTGAAATGATCATCAAGTGTCAAATAAATAGCTTTTTCATAGGGGAGTCCTTGGGTGCTAAAATACAAATCTTTAATTTTTTTATTTTTTCATGAAAATTTTCACCTGCAAACTAACAAAAAGTGCCAATGTGTCATCCATTATGCATACTACAAGATCATGGTCATTTACTCAAATTAAATGAGATTTATGAACGTTTTTTTTCGGGAGTCAAAATTTCATAGGGGGAGCCAGATTTTCATTATGAAAATCTGACTGGGGAGTCACATTTTAGGGGAGTCAGATTTTCATGGTACACCGGCGTTACATCAACAGGGTGGACTGGCCTGCCCGATTACCAGATGTAATTCCAAATAAAAATTTGTGGAATAAGATTGGAAACCAAGTGACATAGAAACACCCCTTGCACAGAAATGTTCTAATTCGAAGTATCTTTAGAGCCTCGCCAACACAGCCCAAGAAGATAGCTGTACCTTTAGCTGTCTATATCCAGATGGCTGATGGCCATACTGAGATCACATGCCTATCCTACAGAAGATAAATACTGACAAAAAGCAGGTGTAAGGGCAAAGCATTGGACTGTAAACCTGTTTTTAAAGATACTAACTTGACATTGCCATTTTCAATATTTACCACCGGAAAAATCTAACAAACAGCTGTTGTTTACTTCAAGAAACATAGTACATTACTTTTGTCACCCATCTGTACAATTGATAGTTTTAAATGGTAGGCTATTTGCCAAAACAAATTATACTGTATCTGCCGGTAGAAAAAATATATAAGATATACGTATTATGGTCTGTTATACATACCCGTCCACGTATTGAATAGGGTTTGTAAAACGTGTGATATATATATATATATATATTAGTCGAGGAGACTTACGATCTTCCCATGCATCATGCATCGCTTTATCACTTTCATCGCGTGGCTTGTTACTCAATAAATCAACGATATACGACAGGTACATGATCTGACTCCAACGTTTCTTGTTTTTCACCTGCAACAACAACCATTTGGGTTTTATTTGTAAAAGAAGGAACTCGTTCAGCGCAGAGTGATGGTATTATTAAATTCTCAAATATGAAGGACGGATAGACAAGGGGCGGCTATAGGCTGTCTTCTGGGTCTTCCAGAAGTCGGTCAGATTTTTCAAGTTTACATTGATGGCCATCTAGTTTTTTCTGTCGGAAGCCGATCAAAATGGAGAATGGTTTGACAAAGGTAATTTGGAAGACTGTCAGAAAATAACTCTGGATCCACCCCTGTAAACGACAGCTTCAATTAGATATAATTGTACCAAGCGGAGGAGAAAATTAGTCAATCATTTTAGTTGACTTACAAATATAGTGTTGTTGAAATAAATTGATCGTTGAGTATACAACATTATACTTAATCACAAGAAAGGGGGTTTCACCTTCTGGTTGTCCTTCAAGTGTAACACAACGCTCATTGAATATTGTCCAGAGTGGGGATCAAAAAATCCCCACACAAGTTGAAGTCCATAGGGAGTATCGTGCCTCTCGAAGCCAATGTTCCTTTCAGGATTACTTTCGAATTCTACCTCTGGAAAAAAATGTAAACCCATTTCCCCTTAGAAATAAGTGTTAATGAATCAATTAAATCCTGGCGAGAGGTAGTGGTAAGTTGCCGCATTGTGAAATGAAACATCGTGACGCATTTCTGGATAAAGTGCACGGTCTTTGTGATGTACTCATGATGGGTTGTGTTAGGAGTTAAGTCACAGTCATACTTATAACGACCTGTCTTTGTTTTCAGTTGTCGTAGCACAGTGTGTATATGATAATGAGCGCATTCAGGACAACTTGATCAGCGGACTCACGGATCCGCGGACTTTCTACGGCCGAACCACTAAAAAGGAAGCCCTGGACTAACTGATCCGCCGACTAAATATTGCCGACCCACCTAAAAGGAAGCTACCTAATCCCCTGATTGCCTCCCCGCCTTCACACGTTCCTTCGCTGTAGGGGCCTAGCAATTTAACCTTAAAACCAAGATTTTATCCGTTTAATGGGGCGTGTGGAGGCGAAAAGACAATCAGGGTATTAGGTTGCTTCCTTTTAAATGGGGTCGGCCATATTTAGTCGGCGGATCAGTTAGTCCAGGGACGGTCTGTTCTCAATGTCCGCATTCACAACCAAAGTTGATCCGCGGACTAACAGATCCTCGGATCAAATATGGCCGACTCATTTAAAAGCATTCCACGTATTCCTGCGGGGTATCTATTCAATGTCCATTAGGAGAGAATGTGGCTAGCTTTCGAGTGGGCCGAGCGGATCCGAGGATTAAAATGTTCTGAATGCACCGAATGCGACCAATGATTACAGTTTATATTGACAGCTAAAATGTACAATAGTTAAATGTTAGGTGCTATGATCATAAAGGATAGTTACCAATGGACTTGGAAACTGACACGTTTTCAGCGTGCGTAACCTCCTGAACGTAAAACCGCTTGTTATTGATATAAACATAGATGCATAGAATCGAATGTCAGAGCTACAAGACGCTTCTGAGGGGCTTACCGAAGACACTTCTCATCAATGACAAAAGATGCAGGGCATTTGCATTTAGGTGTTTGGACTTCTTCCTTTTGGTGTCGAACGCCCCGTCCAGCCATATGTGTGAATGGTATCTTGGAGAGTTCTCATCCCTATTGTCTACCACATTCTTGATGGATGTCAGTAGCTGTCGCATCTCCTCTTCGGACTACATATAAATATACGTGCAGTTAGAAACCAGAGCTAACACGAAAAGCATTAAACACATCTAGCTACTGGTAAATTGTAAGTTAACAATAAATATCCATTTGGATATTGTGCAAGCTTTAGGAAGCTGAGATTTTTTTTACTAGTAAATCATGTACAGGGGCCGGTTTCACGAAGCAGTAGTTAGTTAGCGATCGGTGGTTAGCCTTTCGCTAGTTATGAGTGCAGTTTCACGAAGCTATCGCTAGTTCTCTCTCTCGTTATTATTACCATAGTATTTGACGACCGGTCAGACCAGTTGCTTAATCCAGAGTTTAATCGTACGCATGCGTAATGAGTAAAATAGAAAGGTTGCTTAGACCACGACGTAGACCTCGACCATCAGAGGCAGAATCTATAAGAATATAGCCTACTCACGATGATGCAATTTACGAGAGGTTGCGCCTGGCTGTGACAAAAAGAGCGGCAAAAAAGGTGGTGGAGATCCTTTTCGACGACCTCAAGGCAGACGTTCTTATGCATTTGCAGCCGCCAAACATTGGAGAGTTATTAGTGACACTTTTACGCAAGAGTTTCACTTCCGGTAGACTGTTTCGAGAGTGCGGTCAGTAACGAGAGAACTAACGACCGAACTTTACGACTGAACATAGCGATGAGTTAACGACTGCTTCGTGAAACACCCCTCGAAAATCGCTAAAATCTTTCTCGTTAGCGAGGTAGTTCAGTAGTTAGTTATTCTAACTAACGACTGTTTCGTGAAACGGGCCCCAGTTTCCTAAAGAAAGATGACTTTTTTACCATTTACTCTGCAGCCAAAATGGATTCTTATTACCAACCCTCTCGTCTCCAAGGAGCATTTTTGTTAAAACGAGGTATTTGCAACGTTTTTAAAGAAAAGGCATTTAGAATGATTAAGACATTTAGTTAAGGAATGCTAATTTTCATTTAACGTGTGACAAGTAAAGTTATCAATGTGTCATTTACAAACATTTTAGGAAAACGGTCATTTTATCAATAATTTACTGGTCATTTAATTACAGAAAAGTGGATTTGATTTAAGTAAAAAAAATATTGAACTCGGTAATTTTTCATCGTGAAATATAGCAATTATAAAAGTAATGATTATGATTTTATACCTAACAAAGACCGTTCATTTATCTTCCTGCTTTCGAGTTCAAATTCCTTATTGCACTGCAATTGGCATTCACCTGTCTGTTTCTAACCGGTTAGAAAATGCAGTAGTATCGAAGTAGCAAAGAAGCATTAACGCAGTAGTGGTGTGGAGCATATTTGCAGTAGAAATGCAGTATAGCCTACATCAATTCTACTCCAAAAAGTAGAAAGGTTTGTAAAGAGAAAAGCATTAATGCAGTAGATTAGCAGCATGATAGAAGCATGTTTCAAATATGCTAATTAGTTCCCAAATCGAAGCAGATTTGAGGCATGTTTGCAGTATGATTGCAGTAGTCTGCTGCGCAGGAGTATGTACTGCGTTTTCGTGCGGGTAAGAAAAAAAAAAAAAGAAATTACCAGGCAAACACATTTTTGCGACAAATACATATCATGTCAGCCCTAAATTTTGTTTTGATATTATGTGTAGCAGGCCAGTTCCCAGTCTAGGCCAGTTACCTATTGAACTAGGTCATGTCTCATTTGGGGTCTGGTCTAAGTCAGACTGTAATGGACTCTCTGCATTGTTAGAACCATAATAAGCCAAAGGTTGAGTTGCTTGTTTGTGTGGCATCAATAAACTGTAGGTATCATAGGTCAAGGTGTATCATATTTAACTTCAGGTCTGGCAAATAAGATTTAGTCGTATTCATTTTATGTACTTTGAAAAAATCTGATTATGATACTTAAAAAAATTAATTCATAAGTATGTAAAGAAAAGGCATTTAGAATGATTAAGACATATAGATAAGGAATGTTAATTTCATTAAAGGTGTGACAAGGAAAGTTATCCATGTTTCATTTAAATTCAGGAAAACGTCCATTTTCTCATGAGTATACTGGTCATAAGGGAAGTGTGGTGATTTATATTTAAATGTCTATGCAATAGTCTTTTAAATGCATCATTATTCGATGTTTCTTTAAACTAAATATCATTTGCCAGACCTCTTATATGGTATACCCTGATTTATAACACATGCAATTTAATTACACATGCCACGCAAACAAATTGGCAGCTCACCTTCAAATTTCTTGTCCAATTAACATGCTCATATTGGTTTTTAAAATGAAAACACCCAATTGGGATCTGGCCTAGAACAGATCCTTATTGGGATCTGGCATCGTCCACTTAGTAACTGGACTGGATTTGGATCTGGCCTGTGACACATGCAAATGGACACGATGAAGTCATACCTCATTATACATTGTAGTACAAATATAGATCTGGCATTCCTTTCTCTGTAGGAACACAGGTTTGTAATGTGGGTCATTTTTTCCCGTTCTTCTATTCAGCCATAACCATTGCTCAGTAAGAATCCCATTGTAGGTAGGGAGCCAGAACAACTGCCAAAAACAAATAATAATAATAATAATAATAATAATAATAATAATAATAAAGACGAGAGAATTGACCATCAGTGAAAAACTATATATTTGGAACAGGAATTTAAGACCTAGTTTGGGAGCTCTTATATAACACTTAGGCAAAATGAGGAATCAATGTTTGGGTCTTGTCTCACCAAGTGCAAACGAAAAAAGTTGATGACATATTTAAGTCAGGGATTTTGCATACCCGAGTTTCCTTTGAAATCTTTGGTGCATCGTTCATTGCTAGCCACACTCCGACTGAGATAAAGTTCGCAGCGAAGAGACAGACTAGGACAAGTGCATTCACTGTCGAAGATTCAGTCCTAAGTTGATCGCACTGGTAATCAGGTAGTAACACGTTGCATACTGGATAAAATCCAACGACAAATGCCGACAGAGGGGTCGCCAACGCCATGGGAACAAATGCCATAGAAATGTGCCTCTTTCTTAAAACAAACCTAATGTCCAGTGCGGTTGCCAACCATGTTAAGACATACGCGCTGAAACTGGTCAGAACATTTGTCATGAAGTACCAAAAGAGACGGTGTTCTCTTAGCCCAGTGACCCAAGCATAACCCTGATTTTCGTAGACAGCTCTGATGAAATCATCATCATGGGAGTAATATAACCCAAACAAATACAAAGTCAGCGGCGTCAAAACTATCTTCTCCATGTTTGTTAAAAGTCCAGCCTTCCACCGTGGAGAATTGGCCATGCTGCGAGACTTGTTGGCTGATCTAGAAGCTGTTGATTGATATTTCAAAATTCCAGGGAACCAGGCCAGAGAAAAACAGGCAACAGACGCCGCAATTGACCATGACAGAGTTCCGAGCTGACCAAAAGAAGTACTAGACTTTTCCATAATTGCATACACCGTTATTACCACAAGCCCAACGATGTTCAAAACGAAGGCTACAATTGCCAAAATGGTAGCAACATTTTCCTCGGGACAGCGACTTCTACTGTTACTGTCGGGATTTGGGGATCTGTTTCGTCTCGTCATCATGTTGTCAAGAATATTCCAGGCGTTGTAAGCTGTGAAAGCGAACGTTCCCATCAGCACGCTTGTGATCCCTGTCGCGTGAGTATACACAGTGGTGACAAGAATCCAGAGTCCACCAACTTCTAAAACACTTGACACAAACCCCTGAAATGAGAAATGGCGCATATGGAGATTTTCGGAAAGAAAATTTGTTTCAGTTGCACGAAGGCAAGAATAATACAATGTAAAAATTGATATATACTAAAGAAAAAAATCCATCTGTTTCGCCAGATTTGTTCCAGTTTGGCGAAGGCATGCACTTGTAAGGTGACATGTTGTGTGTGAAGGCAAGTGTTTGAACTCCCAAGACGAAACTACATGTACGTTGGGTTTATTGATTATCCTGACATTTCGTCTCCCTCACACAAAGAACGGTTTATATCAGAGTAATAATATACTTTGGCCTTTTTCGTCCAAATTCTGCCCATGGAATACAACACATGTGCTGATTTATGCCCCGATTTGTTGAACAAATTCGATGCACATCAAATCGGCCGATTTGGTTCACATGCTAAGGTTATCACTGAACTCAGCGTATTTTCGTCTTAAGCCTCGGTCACAACCGGCCGTACGGGCTCTTACGGGCTGTTTGCGTCCAAATTTTGCGCAGAATCTCACGTCCCACGCAAGTCCATCTTACGCAATTTCGAGTTCGCAGACAGCCCGTAAGCACGTACGGAGGATGTTGGACATGTCCAAAAGATTCTACGAATAGCCTGCAAACATCGAGGCTGCAAGCGTAACTTGCTACCCTCGCACGGAGTTAGCAAGAGAGACGCGCGTTGTGCAAGACGCACGTCGCAACTAACGAACAGAGTCGAGAGCACACCGGGAATGCGTCGCACGTGCGTCACCACCTCGCATGGTGTATAAAAGGCGTGCTCACGACGCACGCTCGTGTCTTTACAATGAACGTCGACTGTGTAACGTGTACAACAATTTTCAAAATTTTCAAATTTGTGCTCAATTTAGTTTCTATTATGCCTCCAAAAGGCAAGAGAAAGAAGCATACATAGTAGAAAAAAGGGAGGAGGAAAAAGAAAGAAGGGGAGAACAGGAAGCAAAACTGACGCATGCCGTGAGTACGTTACCACAAACGTGTGAAGTAAGCGTGAAGCAAAACTGACATAAAAGGGCACTGCTTTCGCCGTGCGTTGCATTCCTTCGTAAGTGGTGAATGTGTGCCACGTACACAGGAAGCATCACAAAATCAAGAAATGAGTACAATTTCCACGACCATCGCTCCTTGCAATATGCATCCCTGCCTGAAAGGACATCTCATGTGGTCCTTGCGACTCGCGGGGCAGACTTTCCTCTACCTCTACGACCTCCACGGCCTCCGTGACACCCAAAAATCGCAGTGGACGTACGATCCTGAAATTCGTGCGTCCGGTTGTGACTGAGGCTTAGGTGTTCAACCCCGTGGAGTGAACTATAGATGAAAGTAAAGCAAACGACTGCGTGTCAATAGTGCGTGCAGACTTTTGACATTTAAAAGTTGTATGCAGTCCCCGACTACAATTACACAAAATCCACATTGAAAAAAATTAATAAATCTACAGGTAGGTTACCCCTTGGTACATTTGCCTTGCAATACTCATACGTTGCCCGTATATATGCCCGAATGCCCCTTCTCGTGCGGCGTCCGTGAGAAGCCACGTTGTGGCTATCACAAAGCGCACCTCTGTTGCCTGTTCAATTTTGTTAAAGCCTCGGTCACAACCGGACGCACGAATTTTAGGAGGCTGTGGAGTTCTTAGAGGTAGAGGAAAGGCGCAAGTCTGCCTTGAGAGTAGCAGGGTCCACGTCAGAAGCAGGGACGCTTATTGCAAGGTGCGATGTACTAATTCTTGGGTTTGTCTTGCAACCTGTATGAAGAGAATGCTACGCACGGCGAAAGTAATTTCCTTTTGCTTGCCTCACGCCGGTATTGACGTACTGCCGGCGTGCGTCATCCCCCCCTCCCCACTTTTTTCTTTTTCCCCCTTCCTTGTTTTCTGTTCTCTTAGCTTATTTCCCTTGCCTTTTGGAGGCATATTAAAGGTGGATTGATCAAATTTCGAAATTTTTGAAATGTTGTACACAAGGCACAAGCGACGTTATTTGTAGCGACACGAGCGTGCATCGTGAGCACGCCTTTTATACTCCTGGCGTGGGGGCGTCGTGCTCATCACGCAAAGGACACTTGTTCATTTATTGTTTACGACGTGCGTCTTAAACCACGCACGACTCACTTGCATACTTCTCGCGAACTCCTTGCGAGTGGAGCAAGTTAGTTTGCGGCCTCGCTGTTGGCAGATTATTCGTAGAATCTTTTGAACATGTCCAACATCCTCCGTACGTGCTTACGGGCTGTCTGCGAACTCCAAATTTCGCAAGAAGAACTTGCGCGGCAAGTGAGATTATGCGCAAAAGTTGGACGCAAACAGGCCGTAAGAGCCCGCACGGCCGGTTGTGACCGAGGCTTAAGCTGGCCATTTTGACATATTTTTCCAACGTACGCCCGTAGGCTGTAGCGATACGCTGTAGCGTATACGCCATGGTACAATTCCCATGCTCGATTACGGGAGTTTTTGGATGGACCTGCGGCGATCGCGCTGCAGCTCGTAATTGTCTTGCTATACGGGGTTGTTTTACTTTTCGATGAACAGTCATTGCCGCTCGCCGCCCGTATCACCGGTGTCCGAATCATATTTGCAGCTAAATGTAAAACAGTCCCGAAAGTTAAAACATATCTATTTCTCTGCCACCTATCCGATAACCTATCCGGAGATAAAAAATAAATATCACAGGGCTCATATATCTCATTTAGATGCATAGAACGATAATTAAGTCTACATGACTAAGCCAAGGTCACTAGGGCGATGTTCATATAATTTCCGTATACTTTCCGTATGTCCGGTTTCCTTCTCATGGCATTCGTGGCCTTTTCGGTTTTGGAAACCTTCGAATACATGTATATTTGAATAGTAAACAACAACCTGTAGCAATATCGTACCGGCACATTCAACATTTGACCTTACCTATAACACAGGGTACCCGGGTATTGCGCAATATTTAACACCTATCTTAATAAAAAATGAGCATGAGCCAACTACCTCCTTGTTCAGGTTGAATTAAATCCTATCTCCACCTTGAACTTAAATAGACCCAAAAGTTGATCCAAAAGTTTCGACCAAATTTACAGATAAAATTAACTTGTGAAACCACACCATTGGCATTAATGTATCATTTTCATCAAAGCACTGCATGATCTTTGGGCGCTATGCTTGTCTGGTGGCAAACATCTCTTCTTATTAATTCTGCAGGTATCCTTTCAGTAAGTGTGGAAATCGAACACTTAAAATGTCGTCAGTATGAATAACAAAACAAAACAGATCAGTCCCATTTAAACAAACACTTTCAATTATATACTTTACCGTGCCATACAAGCACGTCTCCAGAAATTTTTATGTCTTTTTTGCTTTGTACAGTTTCAATCAAATTCTGCTCGCAAACAATAAAACTGAAGATGCATATTTTACTTACCACGGTGAAAGATAAGAGAGTAGGCCATGGTTTAAAGCCGAAGTCCATGTTGTTCTCTTCGGAATAACACCGGCAGCACAGCCAGCCCGCCATGGTGAACAGCACCCCAGACGACCAGAGACACCACAGAAATGTCACCACATAAGGAACTAAGAATATCAGCAAAAGCATCAACATAGACAGACGTCCGTCCGCATCAAGGTGGGTCTGAAATTGCTTCTCAGTGCCGTTGCCTTCTGTCAAATCTTGTGAAATTACTAAAACGGAAATTTTGCTGGCGACCAAGCAAAAAAGTAACGAGAGGTAAACGAAGACTGCAACCACCGCCTTAACCACTCCGTAGCAAAAAGAAGTTGACCCTTTTTTGATCTCTCCACGCTGGCCATGTTCTTCTATGACGGTTAGGGGTGGGACACCTAGTTGAGCAGTACCTTCCTGCGCTGTCGCCATTTCTATTTAAAATAATCACAAAACTTCACTCGGCCAGTGTGCTACGAGTTGTCTGTTATAGACACACAAAACAAGGAAAGATAAAGGCCGGCTTGATAATGCTGTTTATTTTGAATAATCAGCACTGCGACCGAGTGTAAGCGTCTCAATTCCATAACTCGCCCCTACGCGTTTCAATAAATAAATGAATAAACAGGTAATTATGTTAAGCGCTCAATGCGAAATACGCTCGATGCTTAACGGGGATGTCAACACTAATCTCAACAATTATCTTTTAGCACAAGTCCTTTAGATTAAAAATACTTGTTCCTTTTATTTAAGGCGGGGAGCTTTAATGACGTCAAGATGAGGTCAGCACTTGTATTTTTTTCAAGTATTTCCAATATTAGAGAAATACAAACATGAAATTATTAAAAATGAATGAAAATTCAAATCCTGTAAATCCATACCGAGGCACTGTGTCAAGGGGCCTACCTTTGTCCTCAGCCCACCTTAAACCCATAAAATGTGACGTTTTTGTAAAATGCACATCAAGATTTTTTCGGTTGCGAGGTGGTAGCTCGATTTCAAGAATTCGGTTCTACTTTGATTGCAAAATTCTGCAACCTGTTGATTGTCAGTGACTACATTCGTTTTTATTTATTTACATTATTTTTTTGTGTGTTAGATATGCATGCCACAATCACAGCTGTACAGCAAATATCGTCACTAAATGTCTTTTTGTTGTTGTTTATTTATCTATATGTAAATGATGTGGGGTATGTTCATTACACTTCACACACTCACACTTGTTGGGGACAGTGACCTACCGGTATATGCTCAGTACAGTATAACGGGTAAGCCACACAACCCTGGGGGGGGGGGGGGGGGGGGGGGCCACTTGAAGGGTACATCAGTGATGTTTGTTTGGGACATTGACATAAGTACAGGGGTACAGTACAGTATAACGGGTAAGCCACACGACCCTGGGGGGGGGGGGGGTACTTGAAGGGTACATCACTCATATTTGTTTGGGACATATCATTCTACAGTCATTTATCTCCCCCAAAGTATTGATTCAGTAGGGGTGACACTTCCAGTTAATGTTTTTTTTCCTCTTGAGATTTCTAGTGCAAACAATATTAAACGTCAGTTAGGTTACAGAGATAAATGAACCAGTTTCAACCAGATATGGAAACCTCAATGTCACCGTGGAAATATACCAGTTTAACTGATTATTTCACAGCCTTCAGTTTCACTGGCAAAGCACATATAAGCATTATAATTTTAATTCTTATTTCCTGAAAATTGGTACATTCACAATTATGGTTTTCTGGTCCGAGAGAGAGANCGGGGTTTGGGGATCTGTTTCGTCTCGTCATCATGTTGTCAAGAATATTCCAGGCGTTGTAAGCTGTGAAAGCGAACGTTCCCATCAGCACGCTTGTGATCCCTGTCGCATGAGTATACACAGTGGTGACAAGAATCCAGAGTCCACCAACTTCTAAAACACTTGACACAAACCCCTGAAATGAGAAATGGCGCATTTGGAGATTTTCGGAAAGAAAATTTGTTTCAGTTGCACAAAGGCAAGAATAATACAATGTAAAAATTGATAAATACTAAAGAAAAAAAAATCCATCTGTTTCGCAAGATTTGTTCCAGTTTGGCGAAGGCATGCATTTGTAAGGTGACATGTTGTGTGTGAAGGCAAGTGTTTGAACTCCCAAGACGAAACTACATGTACGTTGGGTTTATTGATTATCCTGACATTTCGTCTCCCTAATACAAAGAACGCTTTATATCAGAGTAATAATATACTTTGACCTTTTTCGTCCAAATTATGCCCATGGAATACAACACATGTGCTGATTTATGTCCCGATTTGTTGAAAAAATTCGATGCACATCAAATCGGCCGATTTGGTTCACATGTTCACATGCAGACGCACGTCGTAAACAATAAATGAGCAAGTGTCCTATGCGTGTTGAGTAAGGCGCACGCCCTCACAACTAACGGACAAAGTCGAGAGCACACCGGGAATGCGTCGCACGTTCGTCACCACCTAACATGGTGTATAAAAGGCGTGCTCACGACGCACGCTCGTGTCTTTACAATGAACGTCGACTGTGTAACGTGTACAACAATTTTCAAAATTTTCAAATTTGTGCTCAATTTAGTTTCTATTATGCCTCCAAAAGGCAAGAGAAAGAAGCTTACATAGTAGAAAAAAGGGAGGGGGAAAAAGAAAGAAGGGGAGAACAGGAAGCAAAACTGACGCATGCCGTGAGTACGTTACCACAAACGTGTGAGGTAAGTGTGAAGCAAAACTGACACAAAAGGGCACTGCTTTCGCCGTGCGTTGCATTCCTTCGTAAGTGGTGAATGTGTGCCACGTACACAGGAAGCATCACAAAATCAAGAAATGAGTACAATTTCCACGACCATCGCTCCTTGCAATATGCATCCCTGCCTGAAAGGACATCTCATGTGGTCCTTGCGACTCGCAGGGCAGACTTTCCTCTACCTCTACGACCTCCACGGCCTCCGCGACACCCAAAAATCGCAGTGGACGTACGATCCTGAAATTCGTGCGTCCGGTTGTGACTGAGGCTTAGGTGTTCAACCCCGTGGAGTGTACTATAGATGAAAGTAAAGCAAACGACTGCGTGTCAATAGTGCGTGCACACTTTTGACATTTAAAAGTTGTATGCAGTCCCCGACTACAATTACACAAAATCCACATTGAAAAAAATTAATAAATCTACAGGTAGGTCACCTCTTGGTACATTTGCCTTGCAATACTCATACGTTGCCCGTATATATGCCCGAATGCCCCTTCTCGTGCGGCGTCCGTGAGAAGCCACGTTGTGGCTATAACAAAGCGCACCTCTGTTGCCTGTTCAATTTTGTTAAAGACTCGGTCACAACCGGACGCACGAATTTTAGGAGGCTGTGAAGTCCTTAGAGGTAGAGGAAAGGCGCAAGTCTGCCTTGAGAATCGCAGGGTCCACGTGAGAAGCAGGGACGCTAATTGCAAGGTGCGATGTACTAATTCTTGGGTTTGTCTTGCAACCTGTTTGTCTTGCTATTGACCATTTATGAAGAGAATGCTACACACGGCGAAAGTAATTTCCTTTTGCTTGCCTCACGCCGGTATTGACGTACTGCCCGCGTGCGTCATCCCCCCTCCCCACTTCTTTCTTTTTCCCCCTTCCTTGTTTTCTGTTCTCTTAGCTTATTTCCCTTGCCTTTTGGAGGCATATTAAAGGTGGATTGATCAAATTTCGAAATTTTTGAAATGTTGTACACAAGGCACAAGCGACGTTATTTGTAGCGACACGAGCGTGCATCGTGAGCACGCCTTTTATACGGCGTCGTACTCAACACGCAAAGGACACTTGTTCATTTATTGTGTACGACGTGCGTCTTAAACCACGCACGACTCACTTGCATACTTCTCGCGAACTCCTTGCGAGTGGAGCAAGTTAGTTTGCGGCCTCGCTGTTGGCAGATTATTCGTAGAATCTTTTGAACATGTCCAACATCCTCCGTACGTGCTAACGGGATGTCTGCGAACTCAAAATTTCGCAAGAAGAACTTGCGCGGCAAGTGAGATTATGCGCAAAAGTTGGACGCAAACAGGCCGTAAGAGCCCGCACGGCCGGTTGTGACCGAGGCTTAAGCTGGCCATTTTGACATATTTTTCCAACGTACGCCCGTAGGCTGTAGCGATACGCTGTAGCGTATACGCCATGGTACAATTCCCATGCTCGATTACGGGAGTTTTTGGATGGACCTGCGGCGATCGCGCTGCAGCTCGTAATTGTCTTGCTATACGGGGTTGTTTTACTTTTCGATGAACAGCCATTGCCGCTCGCCGCCCGTATCACCGGTGTCCGTATCATATTTGCAGCTAAATGTAAAACAGTCCCGAAAGTTAAAACATATCTATTTCTCTGCCACCTATCCGATAACCTATCCGGAGATAAAAAATAAATATCACAGGGCTCATATATCTCAGTTAGATGCATAGGACGATAATTAAGTCTACATGACTAAGCCAAGGTCACTAGGGCGATGTTCATATAATTTCCGTATACTTTCCGTATGTCCGGTTTCCTTCTCATGGCATTCGTGGCCTTTTCGGTTTTGGAAACCTTCGAATACATGTATATTTGAATAGTAAACAACAACCTGTAGCAATATCGTACCGGCACATTCAACATTTGCCCTTACCTATAACACAGGGTACCCGGGTATTGCGCAATATTTAACACCTATCTTAATAAAAAATGAGTATGAGCCAACTACCTCCTTGTAGTCCAAGAAATTGGTGCAGAAAAAAGGGTGAATTGTGCGTTTTTTACCTACAAACATGAAATTTGCCACAGTTGTAGATAATGGAATTCTAAGCTTTTTTGGATATATGGGCATGTCTGAAAATTCCAGTATGGCCGCCAAATCCAATATGGCCTCCACAAATACTCTTTTAAATTAAAACATCTTATATATNCACCAATTTCCTGGACTATTGTTCAGGTTGAATTAAATCCTATTTCCACCTTGAACTTAAATAGACCCAAAAGTTGATCCAAAAGTTTCGACCAAATTTACAGATAAAATTAACTTGTGAAACCACACCATTGGCATTAATGTATCATTTTCATCAAAGCACTGCATGATCTTTGGGCGCTATGCTTGTCTGGTGGCAAACATCTCTTCGTATTAATTCTGCAGGTATCCTTTCAGTAAGTGTGGAAATCGAACACTTAAAATTTCGTCAGTATGAATAACAAAACAAAACAGATCAGTCCCATTTAAACAAACATTTTCAATTATATACTTTAATGTGCTCCAGCACGTCTCCAGAAAAGTTTGTCTTTTTTGCTTTGTACAGTTTCAATCAAATTCTGCTCGCAAACAATAAAACTGAAGATGCATATTTTACTTACCACGGTGCAAGATAAGAGAGTAGGCCATGGTTTAAAGCCGAAATCCATGTTGTTCTCTTCGGAATAACACCGGCAGCACAGCCAGCCCGCCATGGTGAACAGCACCCCAGACGACCAGAGACACCACAGAAATGTCACCACATAAGGAACTAAAAATATCAGCAGAAGCATCAACATAGACAGACGTCCGTCCGCATCAAGGTGGGTCTGAAATTGCTTCTCAGTGCCGTTGCCTTCTGTCAAATCTTGTGAAATTACTAAAACGGAAATTTTGCTGGCGACCAAGCAAAAAAGTAACGAGAGGTAAACGAAGACTGCAACCACCGCCTTAACCACTCCGTAGCAAAAAGAAGTTGACCCTTTTTTGATCTCTCCACGCTGGCCATGTTCTTCTATGACGGTTAGGGGTGGGACACCTAGTTGAGCAGTACCTTCCTGCGCTGTCGCCATTTCCATTAAAAGTAATCACAAAACTTCACTCGGCCAGTGTGCTACGAGTTGTCTGTTATAGACACACAAAACAAGGAAAGATAAAGGCCGGCTTGATAATGCTGTTTATTTTGAATAATCAGCATTGCGACCGAGTGTAAGCGTCTCGATTCCACAACTCGCCCCTTCGCGTTTCAATAAATAAATGAATAAACAGGTAATTATGTTAAGCGCTCAATGCGAAATACGCTCGATGCTTAACGGGGATGTCAACACTAATCTCAACAATTATCTTTTAGCACAAGTCCTTTAGATTAAAAATACTTGTTCCTTTCATTTAAGGCGGGGAGCTTTAATGACGTCAAGATGAGGTCAGCACTTGTATTTTTTTCAAGTATTTCCAATATTAGAGAAATTTGAAATTATTAAAAATGAATGAAAATTCAAATCCTGTAAATCCATAGTGAGGTACTGTGTCAAGGGGCCTACCTTTGTCCTCACCCACCTTAAACCCATAAAATGTGACGTTTTTGTAAAATGTACATCAAGATTTTTTCGGTTGCGAGGTGGTAGCTCGTTTTCAAGAATTCGGTTCTACTTTAATTGCAAAATTCTGCAACCTGTTGATTGTAAGTGACGACATTCGTTTTTATTTATTTACATTATTTTTTTTGTGTGTTAGATATGCATGCCACAATCACAGCTGCACAGCAAATATCGTCACCAAATGTCTTTTTGTTGTTGTTTATTTATCTATATGTAAAAGATGTGGGGTATGTTCATTACACTTCACACACTCACACTTGTTGGGGACAGTGACCTACCGGTATATGCTCAGTACAGTATAACGGGTAAGCCACACAACCCTGGGGGGCACTTGAAGGGCACATCACTGATGTTTGTTTGGGACATTGACATAAGTACAGGGGTACAGTACAGTATAACAGGTAAGCCACACGAACCTGGGGGGGGGGGGGGGCACTTGAAGGGTACATCACATATTTGTTTGGGAAATTGACATAAGTACAGGGGTACAGTACAGTATAATGGGTAAGCCACACAACCCTGGGGGGGGGGGGGCACTTGAAGGGTACATCACTGATGTTTGTTTGGGACATTGACATAGGTGCAGGGGTACAGTACAGTATAATGGGTAAGCCACACAACCCTGGGGGGGGGGGCACTTGAAGGGTACATCACTGATGTTTTATTATCTTTTATATACCAGTAGCAATTGTAATTTTCATTAGCTATTCATTATCTTTTAGATATTAACACAGACAGCAGACAGACAGGGGACAAATGACAAATGTCACTCTTAATACTTCGAAATTGTTCAGTGTATTAAAGGGATAATAACTCTTCGTATGAGATCTATATTTCCCATTAAAAACAGTGTGAATAACTCATAGAAATATAATATATTCTGTTTTACCACAAAAACGGCAGTTATAGCTATTATTCTGATATCTGAGCTTGTCTTTAGACCACGTGACCTCCATTGATGGCTATACTCTTTTAGAAAACAACCATGGATAACTTTGAATGCAAAAATGGATTGATAAACCATTGGTAAGTTTGGGAAAATTGGTGTTTACTCCAGGAAAATTCATTTTTTTGCCGAAACGAAGAGTTATTATCCCTTTAACAAACGTCATATATGCCAGTATATGTACTTTGGGCTAATTTTACGAAAAAAATATCTCAGAATGGGTGTCTTGCTTTCAAAGAAAGTCTCAATGTAGGTGCTATTTCAAAATGTTATTTACGTGTCCTTATACACGTACTATAAATGTATACCCCGTTAAAGACTGGTCGCATATAATTACATGTACCAACAAAATATGAAAGTATATTTTCTCCCGCTTTTTATGCGTATTTATTTGTTTGAAAATACATATTTTATTCCATTGAGCAATGGGTGTGATTATTTTATACTTGTGTGGCCATACGTGTGTATAATTACTAATTAATTTACTGCTTTTTAAAAGATGATGTAATTGATTTTACTTCACAGAAGGATTAGTACTTAATATCATTTATAAAACAAAAAAGTGTTATTCAATTGTAATCGATATAATAATATGGTAAACTTAACAGTGAATCAAGGTGAAGGGAACTGTTTTACAAGAGGGAGGTGAATGACAATAGCGAAACAATAATTAATCTTGATATTTCACTTGCAGACACACCGGACACACTGGGGTCTTTCGTACATAAAAACAAACAAAATAACAAAATGAAGTCAATTATTGTTTTCTATTAAAGATTAGGCCTACAATGGAAAACAACCACAGAAATGTGGATTCAGTTGTTAGATGTACCTGTATTACAGGGTGTTTTTATTTGGGGAGGGGTATTACTACCGGGAATATGGTAAAAGAAGGAAGTGAATGACGAAATGCCGTTGGGTTGGTGCAGATGATCATTCTGCAGTGTATGTGTAATGATACACACACTGGACAATAGAAGTGTCACCCCCTGAATAAGAGTAATCAAAGTTATTAACCTGACGAGGCGGAATATAAGCAATGTCAGAATATCGATTCAGGTGAATTATTTAGTTAGAACCGTTTCTTTTGTGAAATTTGATGCTATTAAAATGATACCAAGAGCATATCATTCTACAGTTATTTATCTCCCCCAAAGTATTGACTCAGTAGGGGTGACACTTCTAGTCAGTTTTTTCCTCTTGAGACTTCTTGTGCAAACAATATTAAACGTCAGTAAGTTTACAGAGATAAATGAACCAGTTTCAACCAGATATGGAAACCTCAATGTCACTGTGGAAAGATACCAGTGTAACTGATTATTTCACAGCCTTCAATTTCACTGGCAAAGCATATATAAGCGTTATAATTTTAATCCTAATCTTCCTGAAAATTGGTACATTCACAATTATTGTTTTCTGGTCCGAGAGAGA